GCTTTAATCCATTCATGAGGTATCTGACCTAATCACCTTTTTTTTTGACCAGTAAGGGGATCACAACCCTCGGCACGGTGTCGTCCACACCACACTCAACCAGTGAGCTCACCGGCCATCCCCATATAGGATCTGAACCTGCGGCCTCGGTGCTACCAGCGCAGCACTCTCCCGAGTGAGCTATGGGGCCGGCCCATTAATCACCTTTTAAACGTCCCATTGGAGATGGTTTCCAACTCATGAACTTTGAGGGATACATTCAAACCATAGGTAGGTCAGAAGTGTAAAATGGGTCAGCAGGACTATGTTCCTTCTGAAGACGAAGGAAGAATCCATTTCCTTGCTTTTTTCCAGCATCTAGAGGCTGCCCGCATTCCTTGGCTCATGACCTCTTCCTCCACTTTCAAAGCTAGCAGTATAACATCTCCAAATTTCTCAACACTCCTGCTTCCCTCTTATGACTCTTGTGATTACATTGATACTGGATAACAGAATAAACTTTCCATTTCAAGATCCTTAACATAATCACGTTTGCAAAGTCCCTTCTTGATGTGTAAGTTTCATAGGTTCTGGCAATTAGGACATGGACATCCTTGGGGAATCATTATTCATCTACCACAACGACCTTGTACTTTACAACCTTGATAACTCATCTTTTAGTTCTGGTAGGGTTGTTTTTGTCTTGGTAAATTCCTTAGGATTTATTTTTAATTAATTTTTTTCATTGTACATGTTTATAGGGTAGTTTGTTGTCGTATATATTGTGTAAAGATCTAATGAGAATTGTTAGTGTATTTATCATATCTTTGTGGTTATAACATTCAAGATCCTCTTTTCTGGCTATCTTGAAATATACAATACAATATCATTAGCTATTGTCACCCTAGAGCACCAGAAGTGTTCTTCCTATCTAACTGTAACTTTGAACTGGTCTACCAACCTTTCCCCGGCCCCCCATTCCCCTTCTCTTTCCCTGCCTCTGGTAACCACTATTCTACACAATTTTTTTTCTCTTTTTATTTTTCTTAATTTACCATGACAATTATATTTATTTATGGAGTACAGTATGATATTTGGATACATTCATATTGTGTGCAATGATCAATCACATCAGGGTGCCTAATATATCTATCACCTCAAAAAATTGTCACTTCCTTGTGTTAGGAACATTTAACACCACCTTGACTAGCTAGCTATTCAAAGATATTTAGGACCTTGTTGGGCAAATTAAGGTTTATAGTCTTGTTCAGGCTTCAGAAGCATTGCTAGGCCTCTGACCGAAGAATGACCCTGCATAGGCTGTGCCAGACTCTCAGAAACTGTGTGCAGGCCTATGGGATGGGCGTCTAATAATGATTAGATAAAAAGGAAAGTAAGTCCTGGAGCTTCTCGGACCTTGGGAACCTGGCTAGTTCCCAGGACCAGAGAACATCCTGAAGACTTATGATTAAAGATCAAAGCATTAATAGAGTAAGCACAGCTATGTGTTTGCACGCAGACTAATATTAGCAGTCTGCGACTGGGTAACATAAGCAGGATTTCCCCAAACCTCTCTCTGAAGTCTCACCCGTGGAGTGGACACACTGACCAGGACAATCCCAACTGGGACTCCAGATTGCTGTTCATGACACTTCCCAGCACTGCTTGGATCTGGGTGTAGGTGTTTTCTCAATTTGGTAATGTATATACTGTTTAAATTCTTTTCTTCATATATCAACATAATCTTGCTTTCTTTGCTTACTTGCCTATCACTACCTCAATAAATATCATAAACTGGCTTATTAGTGTGACGAGTGGTTTCCTTTATCAACGAATCCTTTGAGCCTAAATGAAAATAAAACTTTCAGCAAAACGGACCTTCTATATTTAAAGTGTCTTTGGAAACAGCATATCATTAAGCTCTTGGTTTTTTATCTAGTCTTACAATCTTTTACCCAGTGTGAAGGCTAGCCTGAATAACCTTATCTGGAATAACTTGGAAACGGCCCTCCTTCACAATCCCCTAACCTGGCCCTTCTACTCTAATTAGATTACTGTGGGCTGGCTGGCCTTCAGAGGTCGCCAAACTTTTCTGTATGTTGGAATCACTTGGAGATTTTAAAATAATACTGATACCTGGCTTCCACTCCCAGACATTCTGATTTAATTGTAATGACATGCAACCTGGACATTGTGATATTTTTAAAAAATTTTTAAATTTTAACATTTACTGTATGTATTTGTGGGATACAGTGTGTTGCTTTAATACACGCATGTACTGCACAATGATTCACTTAGGGTAGATAATATAGTTTTGTGCCCATTAGTCCGTCACTTCTGACAATGTGATTTTTGAAAGCACCCCAGATGACTCTAATGCACAGCAAAGTCTGGGACCTACTGGGCTAGCTCTGGTTCATTCAACCTACCCTACCAGGTCCATTTCTCTGTGTGTCTTTGTGAATGACCTTTCTTCTCTCACCACTTCCCAGTGGTTCAGTTAAAGTAGCAGTCCACTACTTTGTTCAGGATCCAATTTAAAACTTTTCCCTCCATGAAGCTGTCCCAATCTGCTCTACTTACACCATGTTCCCTCAACAATTAGACATTTGGCTTTGTTTTATGTGCACATGAGAGCTTCTATCTCAAGCTACAAAACTGTATGCAAAGGTATATTTTACTTCTTTTGTATCTATCCTTGTTGAGCGCAATAGTGGGCTATGCGAAAGATTAATGGAGTGCTCAGCCCCCAGGAATAGTTGCACATACATTTTTTTGAAAGCAATATAGTTTAAGCTAAAGATCATAAATTCTGAGTTCATTCTTTTCCATATGTGTCACCTGAAGAACTGTTGAAAGAAAATTTTGCAGGCTGGCCCGTGGCTCACTCGGTAGAGTGTGGTGCTGATAACACCAAGGCCCTGGGTTCGGATCCTATATAGGGATGGCCGGTTTGCTCACTGGCTGAGCGTGGTGCTGACAACACCAGGCCAAGGGTTGAGATCCCCTTACCAGTCATCTTTAAAAAAAAAAAAAAAAAAAAAATGGAATTGAAAGATAATGTGAATCTTTCCATGAAATGTTTATTTGTTGTAGATGGCCAGTATGGGGATCTGAACCTGTGACCTTGTTTTAAGGTGGTGCTCTACCCAAGTAACTGGTCAGCCCTCCACGAACTTTTTAAAGTTCCCTCATACATTATTCTATTGGGGTGTGCCAGGGATTCCATACAGCTCCTGTATCCATCAGAGATACTCTGGAACCACTGTATTTGCAGGTAAGCTTGCACTGTTGTCTGGACTTACTGTAGAGCCCTCTCTTGCTCTGAGCCCCACCAGAAGCCTTCCAGGTCACCTAATATATGGGTTGGAACAGTTTTCCCAGGTACTGCATATGCTGCCTCCCAAATCCAAACAGGCCCTTCACTGTGCCAATTTCTTTTGGATTAGAGGGTGCCAGATGAAACAACA